AACTGGGCTGGCATTTTATCTTTTCTAAAGAACTTTCAATATCCTTTTTGTAATGTTCATCTCATGTAAGTGGTTGTTGAGTAGTTGCTGTAAAATGCTTTTCACTTGTTTTACATTCATTGTGAAGTAGTTCAGGTACATGGACAGGTAGAGTGCATGTCATAGTGCTTTGTGGTTGAAGTCCCTTACCTGCTTTTCCTGATTCCAGTTCCATCACCGGTCTCTCTTCATGGTGGTACCACTCCCCTGCATTTGAGGTGCAGCATCCCCTGCGTTCCGGATACCTCAACTCTGTTCACAGGGGCTTCAAAAAGTTTGTGCAAAATGGATTAAAGTACAAGTTCATTTTGGTGCAAAAAATTTTTAAATCCATGCATAGTTTTTATTACATGCATTCTTCATGAACTTTTCAAGACCCTTTGTATGTACACCTGAACCACGTAAGGGGGTGTTTGGAATTTTCACATATCAGCATGTAATTTCTCATATTTAAAAAAATTATTTACTTTTATTCATCATTCATATTTTTAAAAATTTGACCAGAGAGAGAGAGGGAAGCCACTAGGGAACCATGGTCTGCCATGTGGGAGTCTAGCGCCCTAATCACCAGACCACCTGTCAGTCCCAAATTGTTCATATTTATCATTTTTTAATCTCTACTATGTCTTTATATCCCCTTTCTTCTTTCTCTCACTCACACATAACACACACACACAGATGCTAAACCTTCCTAAAATTAGTGTATCTTATTTGTCACTTGGCAAATGTCCTCCTTGCTCTTGAATATCCTCTTTCGTTTCTAACCTTATCCTCTCTTTTTCTCTCTGAACGTATTTTTTTCCCAACTTCTGGAATTGGTCACCTTGCTCCGTAGTTTTTAATTCTTTCCTAACCTAGGCTAGGACACTTAGTCTCGGCACTGGCTACTGAGGACTGGGGTCCCTCCTCATCCTTAAGGTTCTTGCAGTTACTATTTTGAACATTGCCTGTGAACATAACCATTTAGGGCTATATGTTTTTCTCTAAATACATTTCACTCATTTTTATGGAATTATAATTTAACCTATTATATAATTTATTAAATGCCCTAAATGCAGCATGTAGGCAGAAATAAGTATTTTATTTTATTGGGTAAACGTGAAGTTGTTCGTAGCCCATGATGTAAAATTCTAGGCTTATCCAGAACAGATAGGAACACCTTCATCACTAATATATACTAATACAAAAAAATACTTATTTTGCCTGTGTAAAAATGCATCCACTTTTCCGACAACCCCAGAAATGCCCAATGAGGCATCCACCAATTTTGATAGGTATTATATTTTCTCATTTCTATTGGTATTCTCCATCGTTCACATTTAAAAATACCTAAGTGATCGGCAACATTTCGGCTACCTTGTTTTTGCTGTCTAGATCGTGCTGCGTCCTCATGTGGTAGTGACGATACTGTCTCTTCAATGTCTGCTGAGACTTGCTCTCTGACCTCTATGTGATCTGTTTCCATAAAATAATCCACATGTGCAAGCGAACAGTGTGGACTCACTGGGTTCTGACTCCATCTTGTAAAGCTGTTTGTTGAACTGTTTAAACCTTCCATGTGCTTCCTACTTTTGTGTGTACTCGCTCCATCAAATACTAAGTGTAGTGGATTCAAATCTCCTGGCAGGTGGTATGGTGGTTAAGGCACTGGACTTCCACATGGCCAATTACAGTTTGAGTCCTGGACCCAGCGGCTTGCCTTCTCACTTTCTCTCTCTCATGAGCGCATGTGCCCTGTAGAAAATGGAAAAGTAATGGTAATAAATAAAATAGTTATTTTAAAAAGGAAAACTCCTGTTGTGATAGTGTATTTTTCCAAATTTAAAGTCCTATCAATTTTTCCTCCATGAATTTTGAGGCTCTATAGTTAACTGCATACAAAGTTTCAAGTTTGCCATTTTGCTAACTTTGTCATGAGGAAATGGATCTACTTTATTTAAAAGTACTTTTTACTCAAATATTTATTTTGGGGATCCTTTTACTATCAACCATTTGGGACTTATGCTTTGTGGGAATTCTTTTTAAAGTAGGACACAGCTTTTTAAAGAGCATATGGCCATTTTCTGTCAGTCTGCTTTTTAACTGCTTAGTTGGATAACATTTATAATGATTACTGATAATTTTATTTCTTTTTTTTTTTTTTGGAGAGATTTTCTCGCTATAGGGCGCGTGCGCTCGCCAGACAGACAGAGAGAGACATAGAGACAGAAAGCGAGAAATCACTCCCCATGGGGGATGGTTACGCCGCAATCCCTTCTCCTCCATTCTCTTCTCGGGATCTTGGGCACGCACGCACATGCGCCCGGCGTGAGTTCTAAGCCACCGGGTCTGGGACGAGAACCGCGGTCGACTATGTGGGAGTCCAGCCATTATGCTAACTGCTGGTTCCCATGATATTTTTATTTCTTTTGGCTTATTTTATATTTGCCTGCTTTTTAAATGCTTTTGTTTTTGTTTTTTGGTTCCTCCTTTTTCTATTTCTTTTGATCAACTGAGTTTTTTTCTTTTTTAATTAATATATTTCTCCTCCTCTAACTAGTTTGGAAGTATAATCCTTCACTTCTATTTTTGCATGTGGGATTATGCATATATAATTTATTCTAAAGTTAATCTACTCTTCCTAAGCTTATAGCACATTACCTCCCTTGTTTTACATATTATCATCTAGTATTTTTTCATTTTACCCACCTGAGACATTACTGATTTTATATAGCTAATATTTCATCTTTTCACAGGTACCTGGTTCTCTTTTCTCTATTTCATGTTTCTCTGACTTTCGCATGGAGGATTATTTTACTTTGTTCTGAAATACTCTCTTGGGAGTTTCTTTCCATAAAGGGATCTGGTGGTAATGAACTCTATTTTTGTTTGCCCAACCACAAATTCAGCTGTAGAATTCTCTCCCTCTCCAGCCACGATTACGGAGGACCAGAAGTATTCCACTATTTAAGTCACCTCTACAATAGGCACCGCGGGCTTCCGGATCAGACTGTGGAAGGGCTCCGCCGTGTGGTTTCTCGTGCTCTTTTCCTGGTGCACGTGAGGCCGCAGCATGGAGATGAGGAAAAATTCCAGACATGGGGACATGCTCATTAAGGACACACAGCCACCCAGTAGGCGGCAGAGAAGCCCAGAAAGTGTGGAACGTGTACAGAAAGCCATTTGGAGACAACACTTAAAACCAAGGGAACTCATGCTTTAATAGACACTGAAATCACAAAGGAAGAAGGCCAAGTGCCTTAGCAATCTCAATAAAAATATGAAGTTCTTTTTACATGGTAAATTTCATAATATAAAAAGTTTAATGCCATCTGGAAACTGTGTAATTTACAAAAAAGTCCAGGTAGGCCAAAGATGGCGAACACTGCATATAAGGAGCGTGAATGCCGAGTAGGGAAGGCGTCCGAGGAGGGGGACCACGGGTGTCCTGACATGGAACATCTCAGAAGGGTCTGGCACGAACAAGGGCCCAGTTCACAAACCACGTGTACACTCATTTTAGAGAAAACAACGAAATATGTGAAAATTATACAATTTTCAGACATTGCCTACTTACTAAATTAAGCAAACCAGATTATTGCGTGATATTTTTCCAACCTGACCTGAAACTAACAAAGCTACACGTCTGTGGGTCTGCAGGTGCGTGCCGCTGGGAGGTGGCCGCAGCGGTCACCTGCGAGGCATCGGCTCTGGATGGGGCAGGTGGCACCTTGGCTCCTGCGGAAACCAGCAAGCACTAGCATGGATCGGGACTTTTGAAAAACTGCGATAGAGGTGAGAACTATTTCCTTTGGCTGCACACTGTTACAGATCAAATGCGAGTTGGGGTAACTGATTTTCTCTTGGCATTTTGACTTAGCTAAAGATCATCACACTGCTTGAATAGCTCACCGGTGAGAATGAAGGACACTCCACTCCTTGCTTTGTGGGGTCACCTAGGTTCCTAAGACAGGGAGGTTTATTGCTTGTCGTCAGTGTCTTTGCAGCTGACAGAGTAGAATAAGGGCGGGCGCTGCCGTTTCCTGTGCTAAAAAGAAATACGTCCAATGCTCTCTGCAAACGGTAAGAAAAAATATTTTTGTAAATTTCACCCACAGCTATCAAAGTCTCCTAAGTGGGCAAAAAGCCAGGGGCTGTGCGGTTCTCCCTGGCTTATACCCACGTGTCCTCACGGGCTCGGGCCCTGTGCATGCCAGTCTGCCTTCTTCACCTTTCTAGATCACACAGACAAAACAGTATTCCACTTGGGTTTTCGGCATCTGTAGCAGGAGTTAGCCAACCTCTTCTTAAAAGGCCAGGTAGCAGATATTTTAGGCTTTGTGGGCCAAAAGGCAAAACTCAAGACTATTAGGCAGGTACTTAGATAACCATTTAACAGGGTGAAACCCTTCCTTAGCCATCGCCATATAAACCAGACGGCCGGCTAGATCCAGCCAGCAACTTGTAGTCGCCAGCATCTGATCTGTGTAGAGAATCTTTGTGAATCTCTCCCCCATAAGTTTAAGTGGACACTGCTTCAGTGTAGCGTGAAAGGCGTCACTGGATTCTATCAGTTTACATCTATTCCACGCATATAGAGACGCCAGGACTGGCGGTAAACACAAAGTGGCGGCTGTGTGCAGTGCTCTAAGATCAGTCCTGTCCTTTCATCATCTTTTTCCCCCTTCACTGAAACTTATATCTAGGACCAAAAAAAAAAAAAAAAAAAGTCACATCTACTATTTGGCTCTTGGAAGTGAAACCTAAAACAACAGTGTCCTTAGGACTGCAACCAGGAGAGTCCACGAGGCCTCCTCGCTGGCTCAGTAACCACAGGCGTGGTCTGGGCGGCGAGGGTGTTTGCTACTCATGGGCAAAGGGGGCCGCTCCCCGCCTCACGGATGGAGAGCACAGACCCAGGCCTTTATTCCAGGGTCCTTGGCA